GAGGGTGTGTTTACATTTGTGTTTTTGTTTGTTTTGTTTGTTTGTTTTCTGTTTTTTTAAAGATTTTATGGGGAATTGGGGAGGGAACAGTGTTGGGGAATCCAGGAAGGGGAACAGACAAGTTGCTGTCCTTTTGTTCTTCAGTCTAGTTGTGGAGGATGTTGCTTCACTGGCCCATGTTGGTATCATTGTGCTCTTCCCTGGTGAGGCAGATCAGTCACCGGCCACTGAATGGCCACTCACAGCGGCTCACGGCAGCTCATGCCAGCTGCCGGTCACTCACGGCAGCCCACTGCAGCCCGACTGCAGCCTAGAGCAACTCATGGCAGCCCAGCTCCAGGTCGAGCTGTTGTTCACCATCTTAGCTGTAGAGGACACAGTGTCACTGGCCCTCATGTGTTTTGCTGCCCTCCTGCTCCTGGGTCAGCTTGACATTTCCCTGTGCTTATGTTATATGCACAACGTTAGCTCTCAGAGCCGTTTCACACTCTTTCTGGGCAGAAGGGTGCTTTTTTTTAAAGCGTGAAATAGAAGTGTGTCATGGAAATTCCCAATAAACAGTGAAGCTCTGTGTTGCGAGCCTGGGGAGAGGTAGCAAACGTGAGGCGCTGTGCGAGGTGAGTGGGGTGAGCGGCAAAGATGACAGGCTCGGGACGGGGTCCGGAGAGGAGGTGCCTCTGGGCTGCTGCCTCCCATCCGCCCGCTCAGCAGTGCGCCGTCTGCTCCTGTCTGGATGAGAGTATTAACTGTTCTTCCTCAGGCCTATGTAATCTGAGACTCCAGAAAGATGTGACCTGTGATTCTGGAGGGTCTGTGACATTTTTTTTCCATTCATTTAAAATGGCCTTGGGGCGTGAGCTGGCTCCCCTGAGGCTGGTGTGTGGAGCAGTATTCTGTCATGGATTGTGAAAGGCGTAGCTCTGGTGCTGCTTTCACTTGGCTTTGCGTTATATTAACGTTGGTTAATTTCTTATAATTACGGAGGAAAGGGCATCTATTTTTAATCCAGAGTGGTGGATGAGGTGGGGAAACAGCAATTACTGAATTGCTGTTCGTGTTTGTATAGCAGCTAGCGACCGTCGGTGTTTTCTCTCCTTCCATGTTTTTAATACAACCTCTGGAGTTTTGGGTCATAGCAGATCTCAGGGAAAACTCTTTTTACCTAATTTTTAACCAAAGTACTGTGCAGACCAGTGTGTGGTGTCAGAACACAGGCGGCGGGAGCCCCACCACCTTACTAACAGCCAGTCGTCACTGGCTGTCCCACTCAGAGGTCACAGCTGCAGGAGAGGGGGAGCGGGACTCACCTGGCCCCGGAGGGGCCCTGCGCCACGCCTGGGTGTCCCTCACAGTGTGTGCGCTCTGCTGTGTGTCTGCATAGACCACCCAGCTCCCTTACACGCCCTGCTTCCTTAGGCCCAAGGCTGATCAGTCTTAAATTAACATCCATCCTAGAGAAAGGGA